TGATGTGACACAGGGCTCATTCCAGGCGTTGGCAAAGGGCTGTGGGCAGGCCACCTCACACGGTGTGGAGCACTGGTAGCTACACAGCTGTCTGTAGGAGGACATTGTTCTGCAGCGGAAGTGGATCTGGAACACAGAAAAACAGAAGACTGTGTGTAAAGCAATTCCATGGTAGGTCAGAGATTTCTGTTCAGGCACTCAAGCATATTTGATGAGGAAGCTGCCCGCTTGAGTTGCTTCCTGAACAGAGATGATGTCGCTTCATAGTTCCTGGCTCTCTCTTCCACCTTTTAGTCACACTGCTTGAATTACATTTATCTTCTGTCCTTGCCAGACTCTCAACTATTCCTAACCTTCCTGTGCGTATCAAACAACCTACACTTTTGATGTATCTATACATAATGTCTCAGAACCTATCCCAAAGAGCTACTTCATAAGCAGTGCTTGCTTCAGTTGTGTCCTCTTGTAAAGGAACACAAATGCTTCTGTACTTCACGAGACCAATGGCCATCTCACCCAGCCCCCTTTTCTCAGTAGTTCACCTGTAGGACAGGATTTACAGGACCACCTGTTACACAGGGCTTCAAAACTGAACCTTCTTCTAAAGCCAAGACAAGGCTGCAGCTCATTTCTATACCAGCTTTAGAAGCCAAAAGTCATGAATCTTTGAAGCACTTAGCAAGGACTGCAGTATTCCCTCAAGAAGCTGGATAATGCCACACCCAAGCTCTCTGCAGGATCGGTGAAGCTGCTTTTAGAGAGGCTAGCCCTGTTAGTGCCATGGCACACGTTTATGTAGGATTCAGTTAGAGGTATCATTAATAGAGCATATGAAAAAGGCACAAAGAACCAAAAACTTACTCAAGTCCCAGAGGAGAAGTCAGGAGAAGCTGTTGGGAGAGATGTGAGTAGTGTGTGCTTTTATACTGCTGCTTGGGTAGTCTGGAGGATCTGAGACACACTTTGCACATGATGTTTGATTAGATTCAAACCAGAAACAATTACACATAATGTCTCACACCATATAATCACTTTGCTCACTGTTTGCAGTTATTAGGCAATTCCCAGCTTTCATTTCCTCCTTACTATGTCATTCCCCTCTAAACTTTTTGATCATAGAATCATTTAGGTTGGAAAAGACCTTTAGGATCATCCAGTCCAATCATGTTCAGATTCATCAGATTTCAGCCTCTCTGCAACAATCCCCAGGCTTTACCCTTCTGCTGTAATGAGAGGTAGTTCAGTTAAGTTAAAACCATCTGGTTTACAACTGTATTATATTTTATATCTTTTATATTTTAAAATTCCCTTGGAGATGGGGGACAGACTGTAAATATTAATGTTGAAGCTCCAGGGTGCAAGTCTACATCTATGGGTAGATGTGGCACTTTGGGACATGGTTCAGTCTGGTCTACCCTTGACTGGTTTAGTGTGGACTTGGTAGTGTAGGTTAATGGTTGGACTGGGTGATCTTAAAGGTCTTTTCCAACCTAAATGATTCTATGATTCTACTTATTTTGGCTGCTTCATGTCCCTACTTCAGCTGCTCAGCCAGGGTCTGATGTGCTGGCACCACCAAGCCAGCAAATCTGTGCAATTCACTGTAGGGCAGAAAATGAGCATTTAGTTAATGCATAGTAGAAATGCTGCTGACTTTAAACCACACTCCAGACTTGTATGCACTTCTTGGACAGATCTTATCACCCCAACAGCCAAAGCAAAGGCCAATTTTTGGTCTGAAGAGAGGTTTTGCTCAGCCTCTGCTAAGAGCTGCTGTTTATTCCCCTCCTCTTTTTTTCCTCATCTTTGCTTTACAGTTAGTTCTGTATGTGCTCTGGGACAAACTTCTTGCCAAACTTAGGCACCAGACCCTCATCTGCTCCAACTGAATGTGACCCCACTGAATTTAGCTGCTCTTAGTTATGTGCTCTGTAATGATTTCAGCAATGTTTTCCTAGAACACACCAACTCAGTAACTTTGCATCTAGCTGTGTCTCCAGTGCATGTCTTCAAGACTCAATATTAATATTTTCAGAACTGGGAAATATCTGTATTCTTGGCCACAGGAAGCCTTGTTTTCAGAAGCCAATGGCACAGAGCACTTTTCAGGAGGGAATCAGAATTTGTTCAGGATGTCCAAATTGCGTGAGAAAAACTAATGATCATTCTAGAAGATGTCTTTAAGAAGAATCTCAGTGATCCTGAGAAACCAATAAATGCTTTAGCCCTCAACTTTCCCTGTAATGCATACAGTACAGGAGACACATATGGAGAGGGGAAGCTCCATCTGTGTTTGTTTATTATCACTGCCTTCTAACATGATTCTCCAGGGCAAGATTTTAAGTAGCAGCGACCTTATGGCCGTCAGGGCTCAGCTCCTTGAACAATACAGTAATCAGTCAGATTGACAGTGGCCAGTTATCTGGGGGGATGCAAAGGACTCAGCTCACAGACTTTCAGCAAGTAATGAATTACAGCAATAAATTCCATTAGACATTATTGTGCCGTCAAGGACCATGAAGCCAGGTGCCTAATCCTACTCAAGATGGAGAAGGATGTAAAAGTCAAACAATCGCAAAAAAAGAGCTTGATTCTTTCCCACCCAAAACCAACAAAGGGAGTGGATGATACCAGGAAGGACCTGGTCATTGAAGTTTTGAAAGGGAATGAACCATGAGATGTAGCATTGTGTAAAAACATGATGAAGTAGGGAACACCATAGTAATAAGGATAAGTCAGAAAATGTTTTACATCATCAAAATGAGCTGAATACGCAACAAATCAGTTGGTAAAACAGCAGGTCCTCATGAGCAAGGTTGTTTCATATACACAAGGAGTTTAAGAAAGTAGAAAATAGTGCTCAATTGTCAAGTCTTTTTTCCAGGCACTCCTCTTGTTATATGATCCCTGTTAACATGGCTAAGATTAAATTTACTCAATAGTTTCCCAAGTATTGAAATGCAGACGGAAGAGCAGCTTTAATTGTTAACTGTATATTCTGCTAAAAACATGATTCTTGTAAGAGTTCGACATGAGTCTATCTCCAGGGAGAGATATCTCCTGCCTTTTCAACTTGAAACAGTCTGTGAAAATGTGTTAATAAATTATTAGGCAGGGGCTTCTATGACAGCAGAAGATTGCTTAGGGGACCCCATTCCTTTTATTTTCACATGGGTTAATCTTTATTCATAATCATTAAATAGTTTCATAATTCCTAAATCTGAAAGAATTTTGCTGTAGACACCCTTAGTTTTGTATGTTCAGCTTTGGTATGAGGTTGTGAGTATCCTCAGCAGACTTTACCAGTTGACTGGCAACTCACACTACCCCTGGATTTTCTACACGTATAGAGAACGAAGGCTTTCTATATGGCCATTTTGAAGTGTAACATCACCAGACTTTTTTGGTTTACTTTCTACTTAAAATCTGTACCCTGGTCAGAAGAATCGGAGGCAATTCAGGGGTGTTGGGTGGGCACAGGCAGTTTGTTACTGTTTAGGATCTGTCTGGGTAAAAAAGAAAATGTCAGAGACATTAGAGAGGAGATGTGTGACCCATGTCATAGACCTGTAAGAGCTTCACTTGCAGATCTTTAGCTGACCCTGAGAGATGCACAAGGAAAACTATATCAAAATGTGCATCTAAGCAGTATTTCTCCAGAGGTTTCATGGAAAGATGGCTAAGGATTACACAGCAGGAAATATTATTTACATCTTCAAAGTGCCAGAGTGATTCAACTGCACCAAGTAAATCTAAGTGGGAGTCAGTGGCCACAGTCCTGTCCCTGCCCTATAGTGAGCGGTGGTTTTGTGGACTGGCAGGAGAAAAACAGATATCCATGCACAAATACCACATGTTCTCTGTTTAGTTTTCTTAAACCCAGTGTGTTTATCTTTTTCACTGATTTCACCAAAGTATTTGAAGGAAATGCAGGGTAGAAAAATAAACAGCAAAGAACAAAACAAAAATAGAATTAGCACAAGGCAGGAAGGTGATGGAGGTGCAGACTGCCAGGATTTTGAATGGTCTGCTTTGCTCTTTTCTTGCTTCTGGTTTCATCCTGAAAGAATTTCTTGCTCCCTTAAGTGATCCTTGTGGACTTAGAATCATATGGGCTCAAGCTGCACCAGGGGAGGTTTAGGTTGGATATTAGGAAAAATTTCTTCATGGAAAGGGTGGTCAAGCATTGGAGCAGGCTGCCCAGAGAGGTGATGGAGTCCCCATCCCTGGAAGTGTTCAAAAAACAGGTAAATGTGGCACTTCAGTACATGGTTTAGTCTAGTCTACCCTTGATTGGTTTAGTGTGGGCTTGGTAGTGTAGGGTAATGGTTGGACTGGATGATCTTAAAGGGCTTTTCCAACCTAAACGATTCTATGATTCTATGACTTAATGGTGACAGACCATCTCCTGGGAGTGAGGCCTGGTGCATGCAATGCTTGGCTGCATCAGTAGCTTCTCCTTGTCCTTTCGTGCTTCTGTAAAATTGCATGACCTACTGTTTTTTCTTTCCATGTTTATTTTATTTCTTCTGGGTGGAGACAGGTTTTCTGCCTTTCCTCTGGCCTGGGAGGGTAGGACCTGCAGCTGAAGGTAAAACCCACCCAAATTCTAACTGTAACAATGGCAGGAATAGGCACACCTGTATTTTCCTTCCCAGCTCTTCCTCTGAATCAGAAACTGATGCGAAGACAAACATTTTGCTGTGATGTCTCAATTGTCTTTCCTGTAACAACCACCTAGACCTCAGGGATGTTGTGAAAATGCTATCTTTTAAAGTGAGAACTACATTCCTAACCATGTAGTCTCTGGCTGGGGGAAGCCACGCCTGCACCTGCCTGGCAGCCAGCTTTGTGCAGGGCGAGGTCCCAGCAAGACTGAGCTCAGAGCGCTTCCCAGTGGGATTCACTCCATGGCTGGTGTCCAAAAGACACAGACATGTATCACACTTGCCTATGTTTTGCTATCCATCACAATGACATGTATACCCCAGGATAGCGTCATGGGTGTGTTTGGACCCATGTACTCCAGGACTTTGAGGAGGTGGACAAACATCACCCATGGGATAGGACATAAAAGGAACAATATGTCTGACAAACTTCTGTTTAAGAAGATGCTGGAATTCTACCACTGTATCCATGATCTGTGCAGTGCACTATGCTTGGCACTGCTGGTTTGGGTCTCCAAGGCCATATTGCGTGCTGACATCTTAAAACAAAGCTGCAGCCTTCTGCAGCTCGTGATCTTTGTTTTGGCTGATAAGCACGGCAACCATGTGGTTAGTTAAGCCCGGCTATGTCAGAAGTTCATCACTTCAGCATGTGGAAAACTTAGCTTTTTTGAGACTAAGTCAGACCACCAGAGATTTTGACTGTCATTTTGGGAGAGGAAGAAGTCAGTAATCCTCACCAGGCCTGCTGTCTCAGGATGCATTTATTTCTCTGTTCATGAATGCCTCTGTGAGCTTGTTGTGGCAAGGAGTGAATAGAGACCCTTTGGCTGTACACTGAATCTTGAAGTATGCCCAGGCCTTCTGGGCTCCCTTTGCCCCTTCCTTTTAGAAGGGAGACTGGTCACTCCTAGCTCAGGAGACCTCTGCCTGGTGTGGACCTGCCCTACTAAAGATGCTGAGCCCACAAGGCATGTGGTAGAAACTAGAAAATACAGGTTTATTATTTCCCATGCCTCACTGCTCTGCCACTCTACTGTGCTCACTCTAGCAGCAGGAACTGCAACTTGGCCCTGCATGCCCCTCAGACTTTCAAGTGTCATGGCAGCATGGGTATGTATGCATATGGTGTGCATCTTGACTTGCAGATGGTCACTCTTCACAGTCATTTCCATAGGGTAGTATCTGCCTTGAAAACACAAATTACAGACATCCTTCACCATCCCTTTGAGAGTACACCCTAACCCAGACAACCATTAACATTGCATCGGCAACCTTGACTATCATCCATCTGGCTTTTTAAGGATTTAATCCAGAGGTATTTCACAGGACCAAGGTGAATGTGTTGCAAGACTTGGAGAGTCCAGTGTGAGGGCTCTCCTTCCAGGTCTGACAGATGCTGGGGGTTTGGGGGTTTGCCTACGAAACTCGTTTAATTTAAACTGATCTCATGGATCACTGTGTGCTTTGGGTGCGCACCACAGCCAAATTCTCATCATCTCTTCTGCCTCCAAGTTAACCTTTTCCTTTTGCAGTTTTGTGGTATATTGAGCATTTTCCCCAGCAGGTAGAATACTGCTCTGTGTAAGCCTGTGTAACACCCACATGAAATGGGAAATTACTACTAATGATTTCTAGAAGAGATGATTAAGACAGAGGCCAAATAATTTACCAAACATCTCTTGGCAATTAAGTGAGCCTCTGGGAGGAGATCTCGGGCATGTCTTGTACTTGTTAGTGTTATTTATAATTATAATTCTATTATCTCTTAGCTTATGTAAATTAGGTTGGCGCCCAGATACCATGAAAATAGAGAGCTTAGACAGTCACTGCTGTCAGGAACCAACAAACGAAACCAACTAGTTACAGGTATGGTGAAAGGAAGGATTACTGTCCCTGCTGGGGAGAGCCTCCTGCAGTGAGCACAGAGGGCAGGTTGTCCTTGCCCCAATGCACGGAGGACAACGGGGGCATCTAAAAACCTCTCCCCAAATTCTTGGCAACGGTTATGCTGGAAATCTGCTCCAGACCACTGTTCCTTAACTGGGACATCTTTACCTTGCCCTGGGTCTAGACTTGATGTTGTTTTCTGTTTTCCATCTTGTAGTTTCTCTAGTAGGTTCAGGAGCAAGACCAGGGTAATCTCTATGATAAATAGGAAAGAAAACAGAGCATTTCCATCTGGCCTGATAAATCCACAGGAGTGTAGATTACAGTTTACAGTAGGGCAGGGACATGGTTCCTTAAATGAGTTTTGCTGTCAAGAGGGAATCATCATGTGTAATCTAATTCAGCTCTCTAATTAGTAAATGCTGTAAACGATATTTTTGACATGTAAATCCTTTCAGATCATCAAATTTAAATGTAGGTGCAGGAGGACCCCTCAGCATTTGACCCCTCACTGATCTGTGGTCTGTTACATCAAGTGAGGAGCTGGGTACAATTTTTCCAGTTGTAAATTTATTTATTACAAACACCTGTACATAGCTAGACTGGGATCCACTGTCTAAAAGGGCTCAACATGATGTTTCAGAACAAAGGAGTTGTTAAAAGCAGTACATTTTGGAGTAACTTGTGCCTGAGTCTAATTCCTTCCTAGCATTTCTAAGAAAGGGTCTCCTTGACCTTTTTTGTATTGTTTTTAACTACAGTGGTAGTTAAAATAAATAAATAATAGCATTTACCAGGAATGAAGTGGGATAAGAAGACTTCTGTAGCATGTAAGTCTCGTTTCTCCTCCCTCCACCACCCCTTCAAAATAGGCTGTAGAAACTCAATATTAACATCAGAAAGGCCCTTATATCAGAGAGCTGCTTCTCTGTAGATGTGAACAGGATGATCACCATACCTGAAGCACCTGAAGGCTGTGGTCTATAGATCTCCCCGCCACCATATCGAGGAAAAAGAACGGGGATAAAAAGGGAGCAGAAAGGTGTCTTGCCAAGGTGGTATAAAGGTTTCTAAGTTTCATCTCCCTTTGTAGCTAAGAGGTTTGAAAGTCTTTACACCAAGCATGACAAAATCAATAGAGTTGGGTTGTTTTTTTTTTTTAAAAAAAGTATTTTGTCAAATCAGCAATCCTCAGTTCTACTGATCTGCGTTCTGTGCTTTGAAGCTTGGACAAGTGGAAGAAGGAAGTTAATTTCTGCAATGAGTAGAAACAAACTAAGGGTGAATACTGTCCCTATTTTGAGATGAAAGATTTCTGCAGGCTGCAACATGGATGTGATACCATTCAACTAATAATTGCTTAACAGCAAACAATATGCAAAGATTCCTCCACCCGTTGATGTGACAAGTGCAGGAAAGTTTGTTTTGTAACTAGGAAGGACCACATGCCTGAAGCGTGGCTCAGACCCTGAGTTCCTCTGAGGAACTGTATAAAAGTGCTTGGAGCACAGAGCTCTTCAAACCACTCTTCTTGGCTTCTCCTTGGTGGTGAACTGAGTAAGTATGACTTCAGTTAAATCTGTTCTATGATTTTTAAAAACTACTTTAATAAGAGTTTTAATGTACTTATGTCTGAGCACTTAAACGTCTTTGCCTATTATTGGAAGAACATTACTTTCATAGAAAAAGATTCTGTAACTTCTTTCAGCTTGGCAGCTTTGGATGGTATGGATTTGATATGGAGAGCATGGGGTTTCCAGAGCTGCTTGCATGTTTCAGAGAAAGAATGCTTAATGATTTTATCTATGCCTGGGAGTGCTTTGCAAATGAAGACAATAGTTTTAGGAACAATTTTAGATAAATGTTGCTAGGTTAATCCTCACCTGTCCTTAATGAGGCTTTGCTGACTTCTAACAAGTTATCTAATCTTCGTTATTTCTGCATATGAATTGCAATCACCTTTTATATTTAGCTATAGAAGAGTAACTTTCTGGATATTGTATGGTTTGAATAAATGAGGGCTCCCCTTTGCAAACGCACCTGCACTGTCACCCTTGACCAATGCTCTTCCCACTCTGTGTGTTTCAGGCTTACTTCCAGCCAGAAAGATGTCTTCCAACAAGCAGGCCTGCTCCTACAGCTGCTACTCGCCCTGCGACGTGAGCTGCCCTCCGCCATATGCAAACGCCTGGAGCCAGCCCTGTGTCACCTCCTGCGGGGACTCCCGTGCCGTGGTCTACCCACCACCCGTGGTCATCACCTTCCCAGGCCCCATCCTCAGCTCCTGCCCCCAGGAGAGCATCGTGGGCACCTCAGTCCCACTGGAGATATGCAACTCCGGTGGGTACCCCTGCTATTCCCGCAGGTACCCGACTTACCGTCGTGGGAGCTGCGGGCCCTGCTAAGTCCTGCAGAGATTCCCTGGGGAGCTGGACCCAGCAGGGACCAGAGCAAAGCCCCAGTCCGTGAGTGAGCAGTGGGATATGGCTTTCAGAGGGGCAGTGTACCGAGCTGCAGCAGGGGTCCTCAGGAGCTGGGCGCACTCAGCCACCCCAAGAAACAAGACCAGACACTGTATTTCCCTTCCTGTTGGATTAGGTATCTGCTAACAAGATCCCAACGCTGTGTTTGAGGGGCTGTTTACTTGAGAAATATAGAAAAGGCCTTAATTTAAATTCAGTTGTTCATAGAAGACTAAACACCAGTGCAAATTAGATCCTGTATATTCTGGCCTCTCATATGGACTGATGTTTCATGGCTTTTGAGGTAGAGTGGAAAAACTTCTCAACACTCCAGTTTGATTCTGAGACCTACCCTGTTTCACATAGTCTGGGATTTTTAAAACAAAACAAAAACAAACAAACAAGAAAACCCCCAAACAAACTTGACTCTCAAATGCTGCAAATGCAACAAAGACGACTGATCCTACACACTGCAGCGCCCAAAGAAGACAGCCACGTCCATCCCCAGCAAATCCTGCAAATGTATTCTGTACTCTCTGGATTCTTATGTTCTGCTGCTATGAAGTCCTTGTCCTGTTCCAATTAAAGTATATATTGCATCACAGCATTTGCCTTCTGGTTTTCTTTCCTCCTCAGCTTAAAACTATTGAACAATGATGCTAAAACGATGCCTCATTTGAGACCCCAGTTCCTCTGGGCGTTAATCAACAGCAAAGGACAAGGTGTCCTGGTTGTTGCTTGTGTGTTGTCCACTTATCCACAAGATGTGGACATCCCTAAAATCTTTTGTAAGGATTTGTAGTGAAAGGGGTGGGATTAGACAATCATGCTAGACTGTTGGATCAGAGTTATCTTCATCCTCCCACTAGCTTACAAAGAGAAAGGGGTTGCCCTCAGTATCTTCACTACATTTTAAAAGCGTATTTGCTGCTTAAAGTCTACTGCTAATTGCAAATGCCAGTACTAGGCATAGATTTCCATTTCTATCCTGGGAAAGCCCTGGCTTCAGTTTCTGCATGGGGCTGGACCCAACCAATGCAGAAGCAGTGCTGTGCAGCGTGCTGTGGGCGTGCATGTAGCAGGATCTTCTCTGGCTGTTAAGAGCATTCTCTTTTTGCTAAAACTGAAGGACCAAAACTCTTCTTTCCAAAGTAACTGAGTACTTGTGACTGGAAGAAAACTGCCTTTTGGTGACTACTAGAAACTTACTGTATAATCTGGAAGAGGAAATAAGGGGGCTCAGAAAGAAGAGAGGTCTTTTCTTTGAAACAGAGGTAAGCGGAAAAGAGGTGGAATGAACACCAGGACGGTGCTATGTAATATGGCTTTTAATAGGCATGCGAAGCAGAGCTAACAGTTGCAATAACACAGGGAATAAAGACAGACACTTCAGGACCCTTTATATCACAAAGTTGGTGATATTAAGTCGTGCATTTGGTATGAGAATTTCTGCTTTCCTTATTACAGTTGTATAATTTGAGTTATATGTCCTATTTTTACTCCTTTACAATATATTCATTTTAAAGCAGACATGTTGAGGCAAATGAGGTTTCCATTACTTTTGTACCGTAGTGCTGTGGAAGGCCACAAAAAAATGTACAAATTCTGACAACACATTAAACCGAACATTGTTTAACATCAAGGGTATTGAGGACACCTCAGCACTTGCAGTGCACAGACTTTTTTTTTTTTTTTTTTTTTTTTTAAGCATCCAGCCTATCCCCAGGAACAGTGCAATAAATGCATAGGTAGCAAAGCATAAACAGAAGATGCCAAAAGCCTAAAGTATGAAATGGAAAATATGCTTGTAGGTTGGGCTGGTTATATTTTTCTAATAAATAGCAAATTTGCTCCAAGATGAGCTTTAGGGCAATGAAAATTTTCAGCTAAAGTAATCTAAATGGAGAGAAAATAGCCTATCCCCAGGAACAGTGCAATAAATGCATAGGTAGCAAAGCATAAACAGAAGATGCCAAAAGCCTAAAGTATGAAATGGAAAATATGCTTGTAGGTTGGGCTGGTTATATTTTTCTAATAAATAGCAAATTTGCTCCAAGATGAGCTTTAGGGCAATGAAAATTTTCAGCTAAAGTAATCTAAATGGAGAGAAAATGAGAGTTTTGAAACAAAAAGTGGTTAAAAATATTCTGAACTGTTTAACTTTGACATCTCTCTCAGAAAAATTGCTTCTACTTTGCTTTAAAATTTAAAATCTGAGATTTTAAAAGGAATTGTTTTCCAGGTGGATTTTTTTTTTCTTCTTCCTTGAAAAATTCTTTTTCTTTGCTGGGCCCCAACTAAATGGTTTGGGTTGGGTTGGGGGTTTTTTGTGTCTCTGGTGTGTAGTTATACAGTTTGCCCAGCTCTACCTATGTGCCTGTTTTTCTGGGCACTGCTGAGAGCTTACAGCTCCTGCTGGCTTCAGTCAGAGCGGTGAGCTCTCAGCTCTGCTCAGGCTCAGACTCAGTTTCCCATCCATGATTTTCTGCTGTGTTTTCCACATCCTGGTTGCTCCGTACAGGAAAAGGGGCAGTGGGTAAATGACAGCTCTGGAGTCATCACAGGATGTCATGCACAGTTCATTGCAGGCGTTGGCCAAGGGCTGAGGGCAGGTCACCTCACACGGGCTGCTGTATGGTATGCACGGCTCTCCACAGTAAGACATCCCTCTGGAAAGCAGGTAAGTCTGAAACACAGGGAAGAGACCGGAGTAACACCTGATCCCTTGCTTGTGTTTCTGTGTATTTCCACCTGCCCAGACCTTAAACGTGCATGGGAGACATGAATATGTGTATGCACAAAAGGAGAAAAAGGGTTAAAATATTAAACTTCTGTAGCTGTATATGAAAGAATGAGCATTTGATTAGATAAGAAACTGGCTAAACAACCATCCTAAAAAATAATCTGTAGTATCAAAATATTTCTATAGTGAGACCGTACAAAGCAGAGGAGAGAATTTCCACCCCCTGTACTCAATGGAAAGAGTCTAAAACCCATATGGGTCTCTAAGTCCCCCATTACCTCCCCAAATCTGCATCTGTCGAAGCCCACAATAGACTGCTTGCAGTAGAGACTTGTTTATAGTAGACAGCTATAGCAATTCTGAGAGTAACAAAGCTTTACACTAAAAGATGTAACAGTCAAAAGAATAGGCCCAATCAGGCTTAGTTGATCCACTGAAGAAAGTTAGGAGAAGAAGGTAAACAGTCTTGAGCTGCAAGTGCTTTTATACAATTCCTCCAGCTGCCTGGAGGGTAGAAGACCTATTTGTTGGTGATTATCTCATTTACTTGCAAATCAGATATTGTTGTTTGGATCGTTCCTTCAACTACCATAATTATCTATCTTAGGGTTAGTTGTTAGTTCTGAGCCCCATACAGTGTGATATCCGTCTGACAACTGACTTAGGCTTCTTCATGATGACTGGTTGTAGCTGACAACACAAAACGTTTGTTTTCAAAGAAAGCGTGCAAAATTAATTAGATTTTTAAAACTTTGGCTTGAATTCCTTGATCAATGTGCTGAAAAAATCCAAATCCTCCAGCTGGAAGCAGAGCTGGAGACTAAATAAATCTGTGGACTCTCCATTTCTATGGAGAATTATAACTTGACACAATGAAATAACAAGCAAAGCTATCACTGGAGAAGGAGGGCTTGTATCATTTTACTGTATGTTTAATCAGGAGATCTTAATTTAGCACCCTACAAGGCTGGTTTTCAAACTTTTTTAAACAACGTAAGCCCAGATTTTATGTAGGGTAATCCTCTTAGCTATCTTTCCAATTGATAGACCAAATTTACACCATATAAAGACCAGAAGGTTCATAAATTTAAGACTTTGATTTTAGTATAGCAGAAAAAAAAAGGACAGATACTGCACAAAGGCAGGTCATGAGACATTGCCTTTCCTGAGGGGTTTACCATATAAGCATAAAATAATAGCGTGCAAAATTGCAGTAGACAGATTTACAGAATTAGTAGTGATAGTTATATTTGACAATTAACAGGTGCAAGAACAGCAGTGGCTGTTAAAAAACAAAGTTCATGCTATTCCTTTTAAAGCTGACTTTAACAGCATTAGCAGTGCCTTTACTAATATTTGCCTTCAACAGTCCTGCTTCCTCTAGTCAGTGGGTTGGTCTCTAACACTTGAGTCAGCAGCAATAACAAATTAATAGTTTACAGCATGAAAACACAACTTCAGGGATGAGCTTTCCGAGTGAGTTCAGACTTCCTGTAGTTTTGATGATGGTTTGCTGACCACTGCTGGGGAAACTGGACTTGGCTTTATAATGGGGAACATGTACATTGTCCTTTCAGATCAGACCAAGCCAGATCCCCCTCCCTGGCCCCCTGCATGCCTTAGAAAGGACAGGATGGGCACACTGGTGTGCAGCCCCTGGCTCAGGACCCCACGAGTGTCCTGGCACACACCCATAGCTCAGGTTAGACACTGCAATTGTGTGTGGCATCAAAAGCTTCTAAAGAAAGCATAAGAGCCAGAATTCATGAACTGTATAATAACACTTTTTTTTTATCCTCCAAACACCCATCAATTAGGACCAAATAGTCACTACTGGGAGGGATCCCAAGGTGTCATTATGGGGAGCCTTCAGGTCTGACTGTCTCACAGCCCTTTCCCATTCCTCGTTCCATTCCCAGGAAGCTAAATGGGCTTCCTAGACCAGCTTCAGGAACACCACAGTGTCAGAGCAGCAAACACCCTGGCACAACCTTCCTCAAGTGCTAGACAAAAGCAAAGGACAACACTGGAGCATCCTCCAGGCAGCAGCTCCATGCAATACAGCTTCTTCCACAACAGTGCTGGCTCCTGGCCATAGCCACACTCAGCTGCATGCCTAGGTGGGGGCTTGGCTCATGGAGTTGAAAAAAAAGCCCCAAAACAAAGTCAAAAAGTTATGGTTTAGCTAACAATGTGACCG